GCGCCATGCAGAGAAGCAGAGTTGGCATCTCTGAGGGCAGGTTGGTTTGGGGAAATGAGAGAGGTTGAGGGTGGATAGGAAGGTCGGAGCCGAAGTCAGGAAGCGTAAACGTCTGAAGCCTACGTCCAAGGGTCAGAGCACAAAGCAACGTAATGGGTTACGACAAAGACGCAAGTGTAAACGTAGATAGCGCACAAGCTTTGGCGTAAAAGTAACGTCATATGTAACTGGAGGTAAGTACGACATACGCCAAAGCTTGCGCGCTATCTACGTTTACGCTTGCGTCTTTGTCGTAACCCATTATGTTGCTTTGTGCTCTGATCCTTGGACGTAGCTTCACGTTTACGCTTCCTGACTTCGGCTCCGACCTTCCTATCCACCCTCAACCTCTCTCATTTCCCCAAACCAACCTGCCCTCAGAGATGCCAACTAAAGCCCGTATCAGACTACAGACTCCCGACTCTGACCCGACTACTGTGACGGAAAATAGAGTGGCGTCTGTTCCCGAGTCGGCAGTTAGGGTCGGCCGGTGCTTCGCTGTGATTGGTTGAATCATAGTCGGGAGTCCGAGTCAGTAGTCGAGTCAGAGTCGGGAGTCTGTAGTCTGACACGGGCTTAATGATTCAAGTCTTTTATTCTCCGGGCGAGTGAGATCCGTCAGTTTTCAGTGCTCGTCGGACTGCCCGCTCGTTGTTTTTCTAAAAAATATTATTGCCAACGGTAGCCAACGACAAAGTTGTTTCTAACGGCAATGCTTGGAACATTCTAGAAAGCCTACACTGTTTAACGTTTTTTTTTTTATTAAAACGCAATCTAGATCGTTTCTAAAATAATTGAAAAAGAATGGGAGTTTCGAGACAGATACCTAAAAGTTAAAGATAAAATAGTATGTAGTCAGATAGTCATCGTTTTTAACACGCGCACTGCGTTATTTATGAACGTCCCTTGTAAACACAGTTTCAATCGTGTATCTTTAATCGGACACGAAATCGTGAATTGCCGGAACGATACGGAGCATTTTAATTCGAAACCCTTGCCCAAATGACGCAGTTTTACATATCTTAGCGTTTCTATCGCTCCGACGTTCTAAATTACAAAAGCTTTTTAACGCTTTATTTCTAGATTATATCTTTAGCGTGCATTTTTTTCGAGTATATTTTCATTGTAACTAGTTAGCAATTGAATACGTCATAAGAAATAATCGATATAAGGAGAAACTATTTTTTAAAACATTTTTGAATCAATGGTATTGATACACGCCATTTAAACGTATCTTGATTATTTTTTACTGACGCAGTAAAAATACTTGTATAAATTGTATAAATAATTATAAACTTGAAAATATTGTATAAGTTACCCAAATTATTACATTGCTCTTACAAGTTTCTTTACTGAAAAGATATCTGTTTAAAAGAGTTATTAACATAAACTAAAATAAGAATAAAGTAATGAACTGAGAGATAGTGTGAGAGAGAGAGAGAGAGAGAGAGAGAGAGAGAGAGAGAGAGAGAGAGAGAGAGAGAGAGAGAGAGGAGGAGGAGGAGGAGGAGGAGGAGGAGGAGGAGGAGGA